AACTGAAATTCGAAGTTGCTCAATTGCCTTCTGAACAGATGTGCATGAAGAGATTTGAACAGCTTGCCAAAAAACATCACTACCCATAAAATATGACTACTACCATTAACAAGTCAAGCAAAATCCTATTCTCCTCTCATTTTTTTGCTTCTCTAAAAATTGGGTCTACAGGACATTTTGTTGATTTTTGCACGTTCATGTCACATTTCAATTCAGTTTCATTCGTAACATTGATCAAAACTGATCTAAAACTATACACTTCAACTTAATGACTTGTTCACAAGTGAAGCTCTAAAAGCAAACAGATAAGCGAGTAAATAATGATGATGCAAGAACAATACGGAAAAAAAATGTTTGATTATTGAAGAAAAATAAATGAAGAGGCTAGCACTTTTCGTGCTAGCCTCTTAGCAAGCTGATCATAAGTATACTGAAAACTTTAGGTGGTTTCATGACGACTAAATATTGATGTGCCGTATAGCGGAATATTCGACCAGAGAATGTTTATAAATGTGAACTTTTAAATCAGCACCGAAAACAACTGTTATCAGCATGATACCAATTTTTTCCTCATCCATTACCTTACATAGTCAATATAATCTTGTACTGGTCCCTAATAATGTGCGTCAGAGGTTTTACAATGCGTACAAACATCATACATAAGTAAAATCATTTCTAGTTTCACTCGTTCTTGCCTGATGTGCCGAATCGTTTCAAGGGTCGAGTGGCAAAGTTGTGAGAGTCATAAAATATCTGCGTTATGATCATTGACAACACAAAATTAGTCGGCATCTTATTTAAACAAGCCTATTTGATTGGCATCAGACATATGTTTGCATTTAGGAATCTTAGAGTGGATACAATTTTAAAACTTGTGAATGTTCACGCATAACTTAAAACTTCGGATAAGAATCTGAAACATTCTGGAAGCTGGAAGTGATTCAATAAAAAGAGCATAGTGACTGCAAGAGGTCTTGATTGTTCGAGAGTGCAGTAATGTGGTGTCTGACTGATTAGTCACCACACAGACGCAGTGATGCGCTCGATTTATTTTAGTGAAGAATTGAGAAAAAGTTAACCTAACATTAAGAATTTTTTCGATGCCCGTCAATGTGTGTCAATTCACGGAAGGAGGTAAGAGTACTCGCCTTTGAGTATGCGTCTGCGGAGATTATAGAGATTACTTTAAATGTAGGAACTGAGCGAGTAGGAATTATATTGAATTATACGTTGTAATGTTTAAATATGTCAAAAAAAGAAAAGTTATATTGATGAGCCAATCGGTTGTTTTAACAATAGCGTCGTCGTTCATTCGCAAATAAATCATTTCTTTTTAAAATCGCATCGGTTTTATGTCGTTTCGTTGATTCGTTGCATAAAGACAAACCAACTAAACGATTTTATCCAATCAGAAAAATTATGAAGTTTTAGCGATTAATTCTGAGAAGATGACAGTTGCAACTCGACCAGAGTTCATTCATCATAAACGCATCGCATCCTATTTGAGAAACCTAAACGAACGTGTGCATTACCATTCTAATATGCACTACTTCGTGCATTCAACGTCATTCAGCGACAATTTTTAAGAAATCAACAAAAAATCGTTTCACAACATTCAAATACATCATTTCTCAATGGTTTCAGTGGAAATTTATTGCACCGTCTACAATTTAATTACATCCATATGCTCGTCTTTCCTTGATGTTCTCTTCTCAAGCGTTTATTTTCATGAACAACTCAGAGTACTAGGCTAAACGCTGCCTAAAAGCAATAGTATGAGAGTACGGCGCATAGTAGATGAGGAAAAAACAGTGACATTAATTATTTTACGATGTGACACAGTTCAAGAAAGCACACACATCCACCACCAGCAGCACTCAGAAAGATGTGTTGCGATGGACTGCGGAATGATGCGATCCTGGATTCGTGGATATACTGTTGAGTAGCTGCACAGTTAGTGGATCGAATGAGCGGCACAGATTGAATAAACATGTTTTCGTGTTATATAATCAACCCCAAATAACACACACTATAATAGCCATAATAACAAAATGCGTATTCGTCTATACACCCAACGTTGATAGAGCGATGATCTGCCAATCACAATCAAATCGATTCAATCGATAATATACATTCATCGAAGTTCTTCCCTTCGTCACACCTTCCTTAATAATCATAAAAATAACATTAACAAAAAGGTTATATACCCCTTTCATTCGCTCTATGCATGCAATTTTGTGTGTCAGCCATACGAACGCCATAACAGACAACCAAAACAAATTATGAAATTTTGCTGTTGTTAAATTCTGTGTTGTACTGAGTGATGATTCAGAGACGGCATATCGCTATCACGGCTGTTTCACTTACGATTAGCTGATCAATGCAACGAATTTTGCAATGCATCCCATTGCTTCATTTAAACATACTCGTTGTTTAGAATTAAAGTTGCTTCTAAAAATCCGACAGTAAACAATTTTATGTCATTTAAAACTGACTGTAAAAGTTTCAAGAGTTTTCGGCCGACAAGCAGAAATAATCCGTGAACTGCGTTAAATGCTTAAATAAGTTTGTAAGTGTTATTGATGGGATTGATCAACTGACCTATCAAATCAATCATGTTCTGAATTTATTCGTTTCTTATTCACCTTACTCGATCGCTGATAACGAAGACCAATCAATTAAAAGCTGAACCAGATAAACACTTTACCAGTGATTACAAAAAGTGCTAATGATCCTTTCAAACCATCCAAGAAATCTTTTGAAGTGCAGCAAAGTCGTAAGATGCTATCAAAATGATAAATGTCACTAATGCTGCTCTCAAAAATTATTATCAGCATCGGATTTTTTTCATTCACCAATCACTTCAATAGATATTGTTGCATTGTAATGACCGACATGCTTTGTTTGGACCATATGATTTTATGAACCACGATGCATATATAAATGTGAACTTACATCAATGCTGTTACTTGCTTTTAATAAAACTTCTGGCATTATGAATCAAACACGATCAAATACACTCATCAATACTTTCACTGTAATCCGCTTAATAGAATCAAAGTCCTGATATTGCATTTGTTGGTGGGTGAATGTGCACTGTTCAGGGTGAGAGTATTCAGGACATTTTTTAGTAATAATATTCATTAGCAATTGTGAGATTGTTTTCGTGATGTAAAGTATTATGGATTGACACACAATACTGTTTTACAGTGAAATACTTTTGTTGATCATTATTCACAATAAAGTGCTATTCATTTTTTAATCTTTGCATAAACACATCGTCTCATTAATGCTTTCGCTGTTTGATTACCAAAATCATTGATGTTGTACTCTATGATCGATTATGAAAATATACATATACCATGGTGAATGATGCAGGAGCAATTTTTTGTTCGGAAAATAGAAAGAAGACCATTTGAAGACTGCTTCAAGTAAATACAGTTTACTGAACACTGAATTTTTCTTTAAAAAACTGAATATTCTAAATAAATTACTCAAATATACTGAAAAAAAGTTGCAAAAATTACAGTTTAAGAAAACATACAAATGAAATGCCTTCTGATGGCGGCCACTGTGGCTTATAATCCTATCTGAAGACGTGCCTAAGTTTAGTGTCATATATTTATTGTGCTATGATGCAACAATCGCTCTGAGAAACTGAAATTGAACTGAGTGGAATGACATGCTGGATAATGAATGAATCACTTTAGTCGAAATTGAATCCGAAAATGAGTGTAAAGCATTGAAAGTATTTGCTGGAAAATATCAGAAAGAAGGCATGTTTGTGTGTGTGTGTGTGTGTGTATAAAACTAGTAAGGGATTTAAGTGAGATGATAGCGCTGGCGTAAACACGTTGAAAATCAATTATTTAGTTGAGTGATTAAGAAAACGCATAATTAATCCGATTAAATAGTGCATAATTCATTTTATTGATCACATTCTCATCAGCAATATCAGCGCACTGCTATTCACTCGCAATTGAACACATCCGTAAGAGATCATTCATTTCATTCACTCAAGATCCGATACGAACATACATTCGAGAGCATACGAGCACATTTCATGAGGTGTTCACTGTACTCGTATTAAGCAATTCCAGTCATGTAACACTCATTTTTGAATTGCTTCCACGCTAATGTCTCTCGTTCAGGCATCCATCTAAGACGTTCTCGTCGAGGAATGACAAAATAATCAACGGCTTGTTGCTATCGTTAGTTGAATTACCTCGTCTTTAGATGACTAGGCTTTTACTCTACCACCTCAACACATCAATTGCAGTCACCTCGGCAACGCGTTTAACGCCATCTAGTTCGTCACTTTCTTATAGCAATTGTTCGTCTTTTAAGAATACTTCTCAACAATGTCAACCAAGCCTGCTTATGATAGATAGATAATCTTAACAATGTGTATTGTTTTCATTCTTCACAATTTGTGTTATTTCCAAAATTATGTTGTTACCACTCAATTTTATCCGTAACTCTATTCCACTGAGCCTCATATATCAGTGAGCGTTCTCAAAGTCACGAACTCGTCGACGTCATCGGCAATAATCAATATCAACGGTCACCAGCTGTTCAGTCGTCATCCAGTTCAAAATTCGTCCCAATACAGTCAGTCCTTTAGCTATTTATTAAGCAAGACAATTTCCTAAAACAGTGGCGTTTGCCTGCTCGTATCGCTAATGTAATGATGAGAACATCGAACAACGCATATTTTGCCACGCAATTATCACGTCGCGTCATTATTATAAACCTGCGATGATACCGTATCAATTCACCCAACGTATTTCCATTACCTTTCTGGCTATTAAANCAATCACTTTCAGGTACCTACCATGTCTTCTAGGCAGATCAAATCAAGACTGTGACGAGCAAAACGTTTTCCAATGACTAAGCATTGTTCATTCAACCGTTGCATATTGATATAAAGTAAGTGCGAATAAAGTCACAAATGTCAATCAGAGCAAAAGTTGAATTGTGAATATCCGGTGAACGCGCTAATGGGACAGTTGAAAAGTAAATTGATCCGATCCGAAAATAGTAATCTGAAAGCGGATCCGGATGAGAAATGGTCGAATCTTTACAGGGAACGCGAAAAGAATCATCTCTATAAATGGGTCGGCGTTCGAACAGGTGAGAAGCACAGCATCAATCTCAGCGCACCCCAAAATCACATTGCTTATAAAATATCGCACTCATAATTTTACAGTATTACTAACAGAAATTAGCATTTTTCACAAGTACAACTCCCTGGGTTTTTATGTTTTGCGGTCTTTCGATGAAGCGCTCCTGTTCAACGGAAATTCTATTCAAGGATTGAGGCTTTTATTTAAGCAATCCTAGCCAGCACTCTTCCTAGTGTGCTACTTAAGTGTTCGAGTGATGCATTGTGAACGAGAAGAAGGAATAATCAAAATGTAATGAAATTTTTCATGACATCTTAGGTTACGCCTCGAATATATCATTTTAGTAGATTAAAAAGTTAAAATATTGATGAGATTTCCGACGTGATTCTGTAAGGAACCGCAATGTTAGAATAACTCAAAATAGCATGTGTTCATTAGATAAGCAACGATTTAACTGCATTAATAGTCCATCTGTTTGAAAGGTGGCGACTTGATATCAGCGTTCGAGAAGGATGGTGAGGATGGCGTGTTGCGATTTGCAAATGATAAATTTATCTCGATGATGTACGATGACGGTGCACAGCCACAACTGATCAAATTTGCTGATTACGCGAAGTGGAAAATGACTGTGGTCAGTTCATTGCTGCTATTGAACACAACAAACAATTAATGCTCACTTACAATTAGCGTATTTGTTTTCGAAATGTTCGAAACATCTTTGTTGAACTTTAACATTACAGTAGTTGTTGATCACATTTTATCTGTAAGTCTCTCGATCTTGCTGAAAATTAAATCGTGACTGCCAAACCTTATGAGTCGTTTGTTTTTCATGGATTAGGAGACTTCTTGCAAACTTTGCTGACAAATGTTTATGCTTGCTTTTCTATGCTTCTCATTTTTGATTCTTACCATTTCCTAATGGTTCTGAACCGATATAAAAGTGTTCGTTTCAGAACGTGCAGTTGGGTAAGGCCGATGATAAAGCCGAGAGCAGTCCACTCGAGAGTATGTTTCGTGAACACCTCGCCCAATGGAAACTCAACAAGCGTGGTGTTGAGGGTGAGACAATCGTGCATCTTCTCCTCAACCGCGAAGAACCGATGTGCTGTGAAATCGCTCGCATACTCATCGCTCATTACCCGGGTCTTGCAAATGATATTTATTTGGGTGATGAAATGTTCGGTGAGTATTAATTACTAGAAATCGCCAAGCACTGTATTCATGCGTGAATGTATCTGGGGTCGTGTTTTAATACCGCTGAAGTGAGCATTCATATAGAGCAGCGGTCCTCATAGGGGGAAGGAGGGAATTACCCGTTTTTGGTTAATTTGATGGTGTCAGGAGAGTAATGGAGGGGTTCGGGAAATTGGTTCCGACTTTACACGTGGAAATGGTAAGTTACTGTAGCCGGAAAGGGTAATGACGGCCTGCCACACCATCGAAAGGTGTGATGGAGCACACGAGCATGGGGACAACTCGTATAGAGATTATACTTCAATCGATTGATGTGGCGATATAATATTGGTTCGAATAAGAACGTTCAATTAATCTAGCAATCAGCAAAAACAATGTATTTTACCGAATTCTTGTGTGCATTATTGAATCGATGATATTCTACGATCAGATTGTGCCATTCTGTTTCGAGTTTTTGCATGAAAATTCCATTGTCTCATTCATGACTACAAAGCAGCGCATCGAACACCTGCTGAGCGAAGTGCATTGCTCTTAAAAGTTTCATAATGATTGTGGAGGACTTGTGACGATTTGTGCAGTCCAAGATAATTGGTCACAAAATAAGTTTAGGTCAAAGTGCACTGCATCTGGCGATTGTGCATGATGACTATGAAACAGTGCAATTACTTCTTCAAAGCGGAGCTGATGTGAACGCTCGTGCTTGTGGAGCATTCTTTTTACCAGAGGATATTACCGATTATCGAGGTGACAATCATTTCTGACACCGTTCTCACATTCACTGCATAGTTTTTAACCGAATTCCACTCTTATAACACTATGGAGAATAATATCGATAATAGTTTCTAATGGAGAGGCGATGATCTGTTCATTATGTTTTGCCCTGAAACGTTTAGGCAACGTTTTACAATTCAAAAAGCAACGCTTCGAAAATTGTTAGCATTATCATCATGTCGTCATCCTCAACGTTCTCATTACGGAAAATTTATCAATGTTTAAAGAATACCCACAAACGAGACATTTTTCAAGTCGTATAAAATGGCTTTTAATGGATTAGCTTAGATCACTCCATCGGTTGATGTTGCTTTATCTAGAACTGCATACAGGCACATTGCAGGATATGCCTATTATGGAGAATATCCGCTTGCGTTTGCAGCGTGCTTTGGCAATAAAGATATCTATGACCTACTCATTCAATATGGTGCCGATCCGGATTTGAAGGATATGTATGGCAATACGATTCTTCACATGTGTGTCATCAACTATAGCAATGTATCATTTAGTTGATTCATTTCTTAAGCAAATGCTATTATCCAAAAAATACATTGTGACAGTTGCGAAGACTTGATTAGTGATGATATCTGAAAAGATATTTTGAATTTGCTTTTGAAATTACTGCACGGCTTTCCTTTCATTTCAGTCAATGTACAGTTATGCAGTTCGACACTGGGAAAAACCAGCCGATCCTAATATAGTGAACTTTGCTGGTTTGACACCGTTGACACTAGCCACGAAACTGGGACGAAAGGATATTTTCGAGGAGATGCTTGAACTGATGAAAGTGGTGAGCCTACTGATTCACTGATAGTTCATAGAATAACTTGACGATGTTGATTTCTTACCAACCAACAGATTATTCATCATGACATTCAGTGTCACTGCTCACAGACATTCAGATAACCATCTCAGACAAAAATTTTCTGGCAAAATTTGGTTGCTGCAATAAATCTGATTATGTGATTGCCTCATCTCGATGAGAAATTTTACGTTCTCATTCATCTTTCACCTATTATGTATAGTGGTAGTATCCAGTCGAATTTGATCAATCACCAGNNAACCACATTCTAGCATTCATTCTTCTGAATTGTGTAAAACACGAAGCAATTATTACTTTGGATAGTTCATTTGGATATTTCTAGCTAATACTTACCGCTGTAGGTTTAATTGACTGTGCTAAAGCTCACACTGTTCCTTTTGGATACAAAGCATTTTAAATTCTTATAATCAATAGGAGCATATTGATATGATCTGCGGTATATCAGTCGCAATGAGCACGTTATGAAACAGTGAGTTACACGTGAGTATAGAACGACTTCGCTGAGAAATGGAACATTTAAAAGATTTTGAAAAGGATAAATACATGTGCCTTCAACCGGAAGATTTGATCAGATACGCCCGTAATGGTCTTGCATCCTAAATCTCTTCTAGTAGTGTCGAAGTTTCACCAGTTATCAATTACACCATATCGCACTTACGTTTAGAAAATGGTCATTCTGAATTCTGAGACGCTAATGATTTGCACTATATGAAGTGCATGAGTCACGTATCCTCAAGTGAAATGCAATGTGTTTATATGATGATTTGCAACTAAAACTGCATGTTATATGAAACAATCAGCAAAAGCAGTGATTGCTTTAAAGATTACGATTCGGCTTTGATGACTGTTATCAATGGCAGTACTGCTGAGCATTTGGATATGATCGGAAGCGAAGTGATACAACGCCTTTTGGCTGATAAATGGAAAGCATTCGCTTCGGTGAGCATACTTTTTTTCTTCATATTCTGTTCCTTCTTTGCCCATTCTGTGGTTGTCGTTTCTCCAAATAAAGGCCAATTTTTGAAATTGCTACTTATTCAGCGGAAGCTATTCGAAAGATTGGGTCTTCTGGCTCTGCATCTTGTCTTCCTATGTTTTGTGGTCTACTTGAGACCAACCGAACCCGAGCGACTAACCTACCAACACGCCTATACGTCTTGGGATGATTGGGTTTGTCTTTCGTAGTTTTACTCGCCTCTTCTGAAGTATTGTGCGGCTTTTTTTGATTAGTGCTGAACAGCGATCCGAAGCTAGCGAGCCGATGCGTAAGCTGACTGAGCAGTGAGCAAGCAACTGCAAACAACAGAAGTGAGGGAGTTCGTATACAGTGCGCGTGAATGCTTGAAAATTTGTGCTCGCATCATAAGCAATGAGTGTCATAAGTAACACGTTGCTGTGAA